GCTCCTCCTCCTCCTCCTCGTCTTCGTCTTCTTCTTCTTCCTCCCCCTCCCCCTCCTCCTCCTCCTCCTCCTCTTCTTCTTTTTCTTCTTACCTCCCCCTCCTCCGCACTCCTCCTCCTCCTTTCTCCACCTCCTCACTCCTGCTCTCCTCCTCCTCTCCTCCTCCTCCTCCTCCTCCTCCTCCCCCTCGCCTCCTCCTCCCTCCTCGTCTTCGTCTTCTTTTTCTTCCTCCCCCTACCCCCTCCCCCTGCCCCCTCCTCCTCCTCCTCCACCTCCTCCCTCCGCCTCCTCCTCCTCCTACCTCCTCCTCCTCCTCCTCCTCCTCCTCCTCCTCCTCCTCTCCTCCTCCTCCTCTCCTCACCCCTCGTCTTCGTCTTCTTCTTCATCCTCCCCCTCCCCCTCACTCTTCTTCCTCCCCCTCCTCCGCCTCCTCCTCCTCCTTCTCCTCCTCCTCCCCTCTCCTCCTCCTCCTCCTCCTCCTCCTCCTCCCCACGTCTTCGTCTTCTTTCTTCCTCCCCCCTCCCCCACCCCCCCTCCTCCTCTCTCCTCCTCCTCCTCCTCCTCCTCCTCCTCCTCCTCCTCCTCCTCCTCCTCCTCCTCCTCCTCCTCCTCCTCCTCCTCCTCCCCCACCTGCTCATCCTCCTCCTCCTCTTCCTCCTCCTTTTCCTCCTTCTGATGGAGCCTCTCTCGCCTTCAAACATCCCGCCCAGAAAGCCGCACCGTCCCCGCCACCCCGCGCGCGCGGCGGCTCCTTTGCGGCGTCTGCGGGCGCAGGCCCGTCCTGGCCGCCCCCAGGGGATTCGCGGCCGTGGGACCTTCGGGGGAGGCGTCCATCTCATCTGCCAGTCCGAAGCTCCAACTCCGCACCCGCTCCCTCATCTCTGAGAAAGACGCGGGGGAGGAGACCGGGGTGATGGGGATGCTTGCTAGAAGTCCCTGTGGTGGGACCCCGTATATAACTACAGAGTGCCCAACTGAGGCACGGTGGCTTCCAGCATCCACCGCGAGGAGGAGATGGGGAGAGGGAGCGGGATGCAGAGGAGGATGAGCCTCCGCAAACCTGCGGGCTCAGGCCGTTGATCCGGTGTCCCGCGCTGCTCCTGCATCCTGCGCTGCGTTTCCCCGAGCAGTGCTTGCGCTGGGGGGTCCTGGCTCATTTTCAAAGGAACGGGGCCTGCCCGTCGGTTGGGCGGTGACGTTGTCGTCGTCGCCGCCCCGTCGCCGCCCGTCTCGTGGGCCTGCCCGTCGGCCTGGCTGCGATGCGGTCGCCCTCGCCACCCCCGGTGGCTGGGGGCCTGCCCGTCAGTCTGGCGGCCAGGTGGTCACCGTCCGCGCCCCGTCGCCGTCAGGGCCCGTTTCATCAGCACTGCTTTGCCTTACGCTGCACAGCTTGCCGTTGTTTTGCGTTGCTTTCGTTGCGTTGCCGTGCGTTGATGCGCATGGTTTTGCGTTGCGTTGCTTTGCTCTGCGCTGCATTACGTTGCGCTGCTTGGCATTGCTCCGCAAGGCTTCCATTTGCTTGGCAATGCTTGTTGCTTTGCATTGTCCCCCGGCCCGCCCAGGATTATCGCTACTTCCTGGGATCATACATTCTACAAATGGTCCTGCCAAATCTTTCACGTTGCATGCGAACTCACACCATCCCAGGGAATACCCGCACCGTTTCCCCTTTTTACCCGCGCCAACTGATACTATGCGGGCGCACCCGCTTATCAAACACAAACCAAATATTTCAATAGTCCCTTGAGCAAGTAAAACAAGTTCCACACGGGAGCGTCGTCGCGCACGCATTCCGCAGTCCAAAACTGTTAGGTGTCGTAGCGATTTCAAGATTCGGTGGTCTGTCAACCGATTCGTGAAATAATTGATGTACGCGCCTTTGGGCGATTATTACGGAAACGACGCATTATTGTCAACAGGTTCCGCAAAGGAGACCACGCGGGCGTCTCGCGCGCGCATGTCCACATCATGCGGTAGCCCTTGCGCGCTCGCTGGGGGGGCGCAGTCCCTGTCCAAGACCGTCATGCGGGCCACCCGCGCGCGTCGGCCGCGCGCGCATGCCCAAATCCTCCCAGAACCTTCACCCATGACACATGGACATCATCATCGTCATCGGCGTGACCGACATCAGCGCCGTCACTGGCCCTGCCGTCGTCATCGTCGCCATCATCATTCGCATCGCCGCTACCACTCGTGTTCCCGCCGTTGCCGGCCTCGCCATGATACCGCGCCCGCCCGGATCATCGACCCGCACTGGAACAACCGGGGCTCCAGCGCGGACCGTGAGACGCGCTGGGAAGTCTCCATGGGTCAGCGACTCTGCGCGGCGCCTTTCGGTGCGTCCTTTGCGCGGCGCCAGCGTTGAACGCGCAGTTTTTGCGGCGCCGACCGTGTGGGCAGGGCGTCCCGCTGCAGGGGTCATTCGGCCGTCCGCGCCAGGGCGCCCAACAACGCAAAAGAAAATGCGGTGCCACCGCGGCCGCGTCGGATGTGCAAAACTCGCTGGCCGGTCTGCGCGCGAGCTGGCGCGTGCCAGCGCGGCCGCAGCGATGCGCCAGCCCATGCCGAGGAGTCATCGCCATCGTCGCCGCAGTGGTTTTGCATGCCAACTTGCTGGTGGGAGGGTGGGACGATTGCACGAACACTTGGATTCCCCTTTCTGGCAAGTAGACCACCACCCCCGTCCACCCCAAGCCCTGGGATGATCGCCATCCCCTGGGACACTGCAAATTACTTCAGATCGTGCCCCATCGCTCATTTTGCAAAAGAACTCATACCACCCCGAAGAGTACCCTGATCGGCACCCCCTCGTCCTGGTCAAATGACGCTACGTGCGCACACTCGCTTACTAAAAGCCATGTGTTCCCAACTCTCCTTGGCAAAACGATGCGACGAAATCCGAACGCGCGTGTCGTCGCGCGCACATTTCGACATGCGTCCACAATCGTAGCTGTCGTGAAGATTGCAAGGTCGAGATTACAAACGATATAGGAAACAACAACGAACCGTTGTCCACGCAAACGTTTGAAAACACGCGCGCGCGCAATTGCAAATTCTTACGGACACCACGAGCGGGATTTCAACATTTGCCTCGGATGAGACCATGCGGGCCTCCCGCACGCATATGCCAAACAAATTGAACGGCCTTCTCGCTTAAGGTGGGGCACGACCCCACCTTAAAAACACCACGCGGGCCACTCGCGCGCCTCGGCCCCGCGCGCATCTCCACACCCTTCCACAACATCCGCCAGCGACGCGCGGGCATCATCATCGCCATCGGAATGACCAGCATCGGAGCCGACATCGGCCCGCCGTTGACGGAGTCACCATGACACCGCGCCCGCCCGAACATAGACTGAATCGCCCGCGCGCCAGCGCGGCTTGTGAGACGCGCTGGGAAGGCCACCGCGGTCAGCGCCACCGCGGCCGCGTCGGCCGTGCCAGACTAGCGCGCGAAGCTCGCGCGCGCAAGCGCGGCCGCAAATGCGCCAGCCAATGCCGAGCAGTCACCGCAATCGCTGCCACATTGGTTTTGCCAGCCAGCTTGCGGGTCGGAGGGTGGGGTGATTGCGCCACCTGTGGAACTGTCAACCAACGCTCTCAACAATGAATTGCATCACGCCGCTTCCCCTTTTCTTTGAAAAGGAAAATCGGATGGACCCGCGCGCACACACACACACACACATCCTGGGGAAGTGTGCCCCCCCCCCGCCCCATTCGATCATACCATTTACGTATGAGTATGCCCTCGTTTGAAATATGAATTCACACCGCTCCAGGGGGCCATTATCGCCCCCCCCCTTTCACCCCTGCCAAATAAAAGTACGCGCGCACGCGTTTCTGACAAACGATACGTGTTCAGCAGCCCGTTACAACTTGCAAGACGAAGTCGACACGCGCGCGTCGTCAACTGCGGATGCTCAATGCTTTCTGCGAAACGCACGGTTTCGTGAAAGGGTGCGCGCGTGTGTCAAAAGCGATTTTTCCCAACACAAGCACACCTATGTCTACATGAATGTATACATATATGTGCATATATATGCATATTTGTGCATCCATGTATATGTTATATACAGATTGACGCATCTATAAACAAATCAAAAAAATATGGTGATGCAAAGCGCAAGTCAGAACAACTCAGCGCGCGCGTTTCCGCTAATTTTTACTACATACATTGTGCTTTCAACATGCCCACTACATGAGACCAAGCGGGCCGTTCTTCTGCCCGCGTCGGTCAACTTGTTCGTTTGTTTGTTTTTTTTGGCGCGCATGCTGAAAAGGGATGGGGGTGGCCGCTGTGAGATTAAACATTGGTGGCCACACCCCCGCGTCGGCATGCGCACATGTCCAAATATTTCCGACATCTTCGTCGCGGGCACGTTGACACCGTCGCCGTTATCGGCGGGACCAGCATCGGCGCAGTCATTGGTATTGCCGTCGTCATCGTCACCATCGCCACCATAATCGTTACTGGCAGCATCCTTTCCGCCGTTGTCGACGTCTCCATGATACCGCGCCCGCCCGAATCACCGACTCAAACAGAACTGCGCGCGCGCCAGCGCGGCCTGCGAAACGCACTGCCGAAACCACAATGGTCAGCGCCACCGCGGCCGCGACGGTCGCGCCAAACTAGCTGGCCACTTTGCGCGCGAGCTTGCGCGCGCCAGCGCGGCCGCAGCGATGCGCCGCATGGGCGCTGCAAAACGGGTTGCGGGTGGGCGCGCGGGGTGATTGCGCGAGCAATGGAATTGTCAGGTTCGGGTTCTGCAAGACGAATTTCACCACGTGGGTTGCGCGACGTAGATTGCACCACATATAGTGCACGAGATAGTTCGCTCCACGCGGGTTCTCCTTTCTAAAAAGAATGGACTCCGCGCCCCCCCCCCCCAGGATCATCGACCCCCCTCTTCGTTCACCAGAAAACATTAGTTGCCAAGAACCCCTTGCAAAACATGATACGAAGTGCACGCGCGCGTCGTCGCGCGCGCATGCCGATATCCTTCAAAAACCTTCGGTTCCATCGGGTGCCCAAAAAATTATGGATTGAAGAACATAACGCGCATCACTGTGTTTTGCAGGCTTCGCACACGCGCATGTCGAATTCGTTCGGACGCCCTCGCGCGCGTGTCGTCGCGAAAACCCTTTTGCAAAAACTGGTGCGAAGTGCACGCACGCGTCGTCGCGCGCGCATGCGGCAATCCGTCAAAAACCTTCGGCTTCAAAACAACAGAAAAAAACATGGTTTCGCAACATCAGTTTTCATAAAAGCGTGCGTTCGCGCTCTTGCGCATTCTAGACGAAGTAACGCGTTTTTCAACGTGGTGAAAGAATTCTGCCGAAGAGGCCTCTGGCGCCGCATGCCGACATCATTCGCGCGCCCTGGCGCGCGTGCTTGGGGGGGGGCACGATCCGTGTCAAATACACCATGCAGGCCGCTATCGCGCGTCGTCCGCGCGCGTGTCGGACTTTTTCCAAAATCTCCATCACCGACGCGAGGACGCTGTCATCGTCGACGGCGTGATCACCATCGGCGCCCGCACTGGCCGCGCCGTCGTCGTTGTCAACATCGCCACCAGCATCGCTACTATCATCATCGCGTCTACCGTTGTCGACGTTGCAATGGTACCGCGCCCGCCCAAGCCGCCGACTCGCAGTGAAGTGCCAGCTGGGATGTACCCCAGCGGTCAGCGCCACCGCGGCCGCGTCGGTCGCGCCAAACTAACTGGCCGCTGCGCGCTCGCGCGCTCGGCTTGGCGCGGCCGCAGAGATGGACCAGCGAATGCCAAGTACTCATCGCAATCGCCACCGCATGGGTTTTGCACGCCAAGTTGCGGTTGGGTGGGTGGGATGTTTGCGAAAGTATGGGATGTGTCAACTCGCTTGGTTACACCATTAGTACCACATAGATTGCACCACATAGTATGTGCAACAAACATTGAAACACGTAGATTGCACCAGACACATTGGACCACATAGATTGCACCACATGGAGCGATGCACAATGTTGAACAACATAAACCACACCACAGACAGGTGGCACCACATACGCTGCACAACATATACTGCACAACAGAAATGGCCCAACATATGTTGCCCACCTAGATTGCACCACGTAGATTGCACTCGGGGAGCGACGCCTCCAGCGCCACCCGGCAGGCCTCTAGGCCGCCCGGGATCGATATACTGACCCTGGCCAATCCAGACCCAGGCCAGTCGGGCCCTGCAGGATCCTGCAGGATCCTGCACCCAAGCCCGGGTCGGTGCGCCCCTGGCCCTGCAGGACATTCTGCAAGATCCGGCACTCTGGCTGACCCCGCTTGCATTGACCCCCGCCTCTCTTGAGCTCCGGCCCGCACCCTCGCCTGCGCTGCCGGCAGGCAGTGCAACCCCTCGTGCTCCGCCTTCAGGCGGCTGCCTCTTCGGCTGCCTGGCCGCCGCGGGGAGCCGCACCACACCTTTGGCGCGACGTGTCCTCGAGGACGAGAGCTCGCCGCGCAGGCCAGGCCCGCGGCAGCCGCGGGCCTGCCCTCAGCGGCGGCGCCCCAAGACCAGAGCGACGAGCACGCAGGGGAGGCTGAGGAGTTGTATGTGTGTCTGGGGGGGGCAGCTCTTCAGAGACCCCCCGCGTCGACGACTATCGGCGCCGACACTCGGCGCCGACACTCGGCACCGACTCTCGGCACGCGCACCCACCAGAGTGCAATCTCCCCTGAGGGGGGTCCTAAAGAGAGAGAGGCGATCTCTGCCACCCTGACGCACACAACTGAAGGATCAGGGATGTGGCCTCCCACCTGGTGCCAGTGTCTATCGACTCCGACGCGGGCGGAGCTGGAGGAGCACACCGAGGACTCCGAGGGGCCGGAGGCCGACACCGACGGGAATCTCGTGCTCGCGGGCTGGAGGCGGATCTGGCACAGCCACCGCCAGCGATGAGTCGACGTCTGAGGCCCAGATCGTCCGCTGAGATCCGACGTTGCAAAAGAGAATCGCAGCATCGCAAAAAATCACGACTGGAGCCCCAGACCCCCTCTTTCTGCATCATTGTTTCGAAGCGCGTCGATATGTGAGGGTCCCGGGGCCCGACGACAGGCCAAAACGCCCGGCTCGAAATACTTGAGACGTGAGGAGCTCAGGGCCACCTTGGCGGACCGCACCGGCTCCTCGAGCTGAGCAGCTTCCACTTCGAGATGCATCTCAACCCAATCCGGCCGAGCAGTGGCTAGCCAAAGCCGCCGCGCCGCTCCCGCAACACAGGGGGCAGAGGAGGGTGGGGCGTTGCACATGTCGCGCATGACCACCTGCAGGCTGATTTTGGAGGAAGAGATAAAAAATAATACCAAAACTCAAAAGTAATAGAAAAAATGCCCCCTGACTATTTTTCTACAATTTTTGAATATTCCTCCAGCAGAGGGACATGCCCGACTTAGGGCGACGCATGGAGAGTGGTGAGAAGTTCGCGCGGAGGGGATGCCACTCAAGAGGAGAAGGGCGGCCCGCTGAGCATAGCTCGCTTCCCGCGGTGTTGTCGCCATAACTTGGAGGTCGCTGAGGGGGCAACGTTGCTTCTGGGTCCAGATCCCATATACTCAGCCGGCGCGGTTGCTCCGTCAATTGCAGCCCTTACGACTCCCATTCGCATAGGGCTCGGATCTTAGGCGTGCGAGCTCTAAAACAAATCGGCGTTTCGACATTGGGCGGAAGGTGGAGGGGGGGGGGTTCTGGCTCGAGACCTCTGCTTCGTGCGACTGTTTGGAACCGTGCGTCATATGGGGAAGACTCCACCTGCTCGAAACAGGCGCCCAAAACAGCCAAGATCTTCCCCACGGGGGGGGGGGGGCAGGGGGCAGGGGGGGGGGGGGGGGGGGGGGCGAGGGCCCGCGCCGATCGGCAAAACAGTGGAAAAGAAAACGATCACTTTGCTATTACCGACGATTGGGCTGCTTAGATCTGCTTATGCCCCGTCGCATTACCACCTCCTCCGTCGCCCCAGAAGCACACAGATCGCGCTCGTTGCCCCTCGGCGAGCTTCAGATCGTAACGCGTGAAGGGGTGTCTCTGGTGATAGCCCTGCTCTGGAAACGGCCCGCCTTCTGGAGATGTCTAGTTGTAGGGCGGTGGGATGCGACAAATCCTGGGCGCATCGCTGGGGCTGCCCTGTCGACGCGTCTGGCGGGGGCGGGAGATGGAGTTGAGGAGGAGACGAAGAAACAGCGGCCGACCCTGGAAACCCTGAACCCAAAGTCGCTGCCATCTCAGTTCATCTTGGGCGCCCGAGTTATCCGGGGTAACTCGGGTCCGGGGGGTAACTCGGGCTTGGATCCCCGAAAAACGAACCCGAGTCAGCCCTGACCCGAGTTACCCCTGATGAGTTGGGGCTCTGGGCGCCCGAACTACCCGGGGTAACTCGGGCCTGGGGCAACTCGGGCTCGGAATCCCGAAAAGCGAACCCGAGTGAGCCCTGGTCCGAGTTGCCCCCGATGATTCGGGGCTCTGATCCTCTCTTGGGGGCGCAGGCTTCCGCCAGCGGAGCCGCCCTCGCTCCCCTCCCGCCGGCTTCCGCGGGCCCTCCGCCAAGCAAGAGTTCACCAATCCTTCGACCCTCGAGGGCGAGGCCCTGTCTGGAACGCCTCGGCCCGAGGAGAGCGAGGAGGGCGGCGACGACGACGAGGGCTGGCACGGCCGCGAGCGGCAGGAGGAGGGGGACGAGGACGAGGGAGAGGAGGGGGGGGGGCGAGGACGAGGGAGAGGAGGACGAGGAGGGGGACGAGGAGGGAGACGAGGAGGGGGACGAGGAGGGGGACGAGGAGGGGGACGAGGACGAGGCCGAGGAGGAGCACGAGGAGGAGCACGAGGCGCAGGGCGTACACGAGGGCGAGGGCGAGGGCCAGGGCGCGCCCCGGCCGCTGGAGGCCCCCCCCCCGCGGCGACCTCGCAAACGTGGGCGCGGGCTCCGCCGGCGGCGCGCTGCTCCCCTGCTGGTCCTGCTGCGCCACGGCGACCCGCGGGTAGACGCCCGTCTGGGAGCCCGCCATCCCGGCCTCGGCGGGGGGGGGCTGCTCGCCAGCTCCACGCCAGCACCCGCCTGGGCCAGTTGTCAGACGAGGCCACGACGAGGCCGGCATCGGGCGAGGGCAGGACGAGAATCTCCGAGGTCCCGCGGCTCTCTGTCTCGGAGCGTCCCGGACCGCTCCGAGAGCTGCGGGGCCCAGAAGTGGACACCACCACCACCTCCCCTTCCCCCCCCCTCCCAGGAACGAGGATGGGGAGGAGGGCGGAGGAGGGAGGGGGAATGGAAGTAGTGGTGGTGGTGGTGGTGGTGGTGGTGGTGGTGGTGGTGGTGGTGGTGGTGGTGGTGGTGGTGGTGGTGGTGGTGGTGGTGGTGGTGGTGGTATGTGTTCTTGGGGCCCGCAAGAGCGTCCCAGAACGCTCTGGAACGGATCTATCCTCGTCCTATGGCCCCGTCCAAGACCAGGCACAGCCAGGCGAAAGGCTCTGCACGGGCGGGCGGGCAAGTTCACTCTGGGCGGGCCCTTCGTGAGCGCCTTGTAAATTGTTTATTATTCGGTTTCGTGCGTGCGTGCGCGTGCGCGTGCGCGTGCGCGTGCGCGTGCGCGTGCGCGTGCGCGTGCGCGTGCGCGTGCGCGTGCGCGTGCGCGTGCGTGTGCGTTTGCGTTTGCGCGTGCGTGTGCGTGTGCGCGTGCGTGTGCGGCGTGTGTGTGTGTGTGTGTGTGTGAGTGTCTGTATGTCTGTGTGTCTGTGTGTCTGTGTGTGTGTCTGTGTGTATGTGTGTGTGTGTGTCTGTGTGTGTCTGTGTGTGTGTGCGTCTGTGTGTCTGTGTTTTTCGCTCGATGGTCGAGGATGATCTTCGACGGTCCTCGCCGAGAAATGCACACGTCCGAGCAATGCCAAGTGTGCTGGGGGGTTGCCGAGGTGCCCCCCTGGCTCAGGGTGCCCCCAGCTTTTCGCTCGATTTCTTGGAGCCCCTGGGACCCTCTGGGCCTCGGGAGGGGTGCTCTGGAGGCCGTGGGGGCCTCCTGTAAGGGGGACGAACAATGACATAAACAAAAAAGCTCGGAGGTCCGCGCGGATTTCCCGGGCAGGCCGAGATCGACGTCGAATCGGTACCTAGCAGATGGCGTGGGCGACCTTTCTAATCCCCCCCCCCGGCGGGCCTCGCGCCCGCGCGCGCCCGACTTGTCCAGCGGGGGGAGCACCGTCTGCTGGTTCACTTTCGCGCTGAGCCTGCCAGGGACGGACGACGACGAACAAGAGGGAAGGGAGGAGGGGGAGAGAACGAGCAGCGAGGAGGAGGAAGAGGCGAGGGGGACAAGGAGGCAGAGGACGACTTTGCCTGGAACAGGGCATGGAGAAGAACGACGGGAGCAGGAAGACGACGAGGGAAAACAAAAGGATGTAGGAGGAGGAGCAGGAGGAGGAGGAGGAGGAGGAGAAGCGGGCAGGGAAGAGGAGAGCGGGACGAGAGACAGGAGAGAGATGAGAGGCGGAATCGCATGAAGGAGTCAGGAGTCAAAAGAATCGGCCTGAGACCGAAGGCCAAGGTCCACAAAAAGACGAGACATGTCCGTAAGAGGCAAACACACATACAACACACAACACTCAACACACACACAACACACACACACACCCTTTTTGCGTCGGCGGCTGGGCAGAGGGTGACTGCTCCAGCGAAATGGCAACAGGGATGCAAATTACGGCCGCAATGCACGGAGGAGGAGGAGGAGGAGGAGGAGGAGGAGGAGGAGCCCAGGCGCGACAGGGTGAGAGGAAGCCGGGCCACTCAGAGCTGCCGACTGCGGCGAGGGGAGCGCCGAGGTGGGAACACACACACACACACAAACGCACACGCACGCACGCACGCACGCACGCACGCACGCGCACACGCACGCGCATACACACACAACACACACACACACACGAGTACAAAACAAACGCTTCGGCGCACTTGTCGCGCCGCGGTCTCGGCGTCCTTACCCCTGGCCCTTACAATGTAGAAGGGAGGATGGGAGCGCCTTGCCCTTGCCTTGGTTCAAGTCATGCGTGCTTACAGAGACTAGGCACAAAGTCTGTAGCCCAGCTTCGCCAAAGCGTTGGGCGAGCAAGACAAGGCGCTCAGCATTCCACAAGCATCGTCATTGTCATCGTCAGCGTCATCGTCATCGTCATCGTCACCATCATCAGCATCATCAGCATCATCATCATCGTCTTCACCATCATCGTCATCACCATTATCATCATCAGCAGCATCATCATCAGCATCATCAACATCATCAGCAGCAGCATCAACATCATCATCATCATCATCATCATCATCATCAGCATCATCACCATCCTTTTCCTCCTCCTCCTCCTCCTCCTCCTCCTCCTCATCATCATCATCATCATCATCATCATCATCATCATCATCATCATCATGATCATCATCATCATCATCATCAGCAGCAGCAGCATCCAAATCCTCATTCTCATCCCCATCCTCACAGTTTAACGGCGAGCTGGAGAAATATGAACTTTCGGTGGTCCGCGCAGATCTCTCGGGTCGGCGCTGGATCCCCCTCTCTGGCGCGCTGAGAGCGGAAGGAACGGCGCCAAAGGCGCTGCCAGGACGAGCACATCCGCGCAAACCACAGGCGGTCCAGCGTCGACACAAGAAGTCCGCACGTACCTCCCGAAGTTGAAGCATATGATGATGGCTTGCTGCTCTTCCGATGGAGAGGAGTGGTGAGTGGACGAACGAGAAAGGTCCCTCCCACTCCCTCCTGATCATCTTCCTTCTCGGAGGCGGAGAAAACGATGAGGAGGGCTAACGACGCAACGAGCTACGCTCAACGCTTGCCCAACGAACAAATGAGAAGGAATGGAAGATGATGAGGAGGAGCAGGAGGGTAAAGAGGATGAACGAGGAGGCGGAAGATGATGACGATGATGATGATGATGATGTTGATGATGATGATGATGATGATGATGATGATGATGATGATGATTATGATGATGGTCATGATGATGATGATGAGGAGGAGGAGGAGGAGGAGGAGGAGGAGGAGGAGGAGAAAGAGAATCCTTTTTGCTCCTCCTCCTCCTCCCAGACACCCGACGCCCCGGGGGCGCGTCTCGTCCCGAGCCGTCCCCTCACGGCCCCGAGGCCCTGAGGGCCAACGAGAACAACGACGACGCGGCCGCATCGACGTCTCTTTTCGAGACGCTGAACGTCGAGGCCGGCGCCGGGCGCCGACAGGTCGCCGTCGTCGCCGTCGTCGTCGTCGAGAGCCTGTGGAGCGGCCGGATGTCTGAATCCTTCGCCCGGAGGTCTCAACCCCGATCCCAGAGCCCAGCTCTCATCCCGGGGCCTTTTTGTGGACGATCCCGATGGCATGGCGTGCAGAGGCCGAGAAAAAACTGCCACAATGACCTCCCGTGCAGTGGTGTATTCGTGCCACGGAGTGGTCTGAGAGAGTCCCTACTCTCCACAGAGGTACCCAAATGGCATACGGCTGGACCGAGGACAGAAGAACATCCCTTCAAGAACATGAGATTCTCCACCAGCCAAACTGAAGAACATTCGAGGATCACCTCCACAAGGATGCACAAGAACATCCAACAAGCACGGGTAATATTCGGGTGCCCTCCCCGAACCGACCTCGATCTTCTACCTCGGTCCGACCGGAGATCCGCGCAGATTTCTTGGATCTGCCCTGGACCCCCCTCCCTGGCGCGCGGAGCGCGCCCGCGCCAGGGGCGGCGCGGGCAGAGATGCTGCCAGGGGGCCCCACCGCAGACCCAACAAAACCCGCGCGGACCGCCGAAAGTTTTCGTCTGTGCCGCACCGAACCGGCAAGTCGGATCGGATCGGAACGTGCGCAAGATCAGGCCGCATCGGCACGGAGTCGAAGTCGAATCGGATCGGCCACGCCAGGATGCGCAGCAGCACCTGGGCGGAAGGTCCGAGGTCTCTGAAAATTTCAAACATGTTCGTCAGTTCCCAGCGGTGCTGCGACGGATCGTCGGAGTGTCCGGAGTGTCAGAATCGAATCGGATGCGGCAGGCCGGATTCGGCATCGGATCGACATCGTATCGGAGCGAGGTGGACCCTGCGGCTGCCCTGACGCTTGGACTTCTGACGGCGCGTCCTTTTGCAACGCGGACCCCCAGGAGGTCTGGAACCCCGTCCCCCCCCAAAAACCAGGTTTTCATCCCGAGTCGCTCTTTGACGGCACCGGGGCCAAGTAAATGCGAGGCAAAAACTTATCCATATCCACCGCCCAGGAAACGACGTCGGGCGATATTCTGGCCCCCGGGGGCCCGAATATGTTCATATCCACCGCCTCCCGAGGTCTCCGAAAGATCGACCCTCCTGGCGGTGGTCATGAATAAATTCCCCCCCCCTCGGAGTGGAGGCCTCCAAATGCCGAAGCCTCTCTCGTCCCGAGCTGCTTCTGGACGGTCCCGGGGCGCCCAGCGCGAGGGACTCCCCCAAGAGACGCCCCCAGGCCCCCGACGTCGTGTTTTTTTTCGCAGCGTCGACCCCCAGAGGTCTGGACCCCTTCCCCGGGACTGTTTTTTTTTTACGATGACATAGGAGCAACGAGCAAGATTTCGCAAACTGGATTCGCTGTACGTGGCTATACCACGTGTGGAATATGTTGTACAATCTGCGCTCGTCGCTGCGGGGCGTACCCGCCTCTTGCCTGTTGGCCGGTGCCGACACGGTGCTGCACTCGAGCGCTCGCTTGAGTCGTTTTGTTGACGCTCCCGAGGCCCGCCGAGGCCCCCCCGGAGGCTGAAAGTGTAGTGCAAAACCTCCCGTCGTGACTTTGTCGCAGCGCGAGGGGGTCCGGGCCTCCCGCCGCGGCCTCCCCTTACTCGCGCCCCTCGATCGACCGTACCCCGCGGCAGTGCTTCTGCAGCCCCGTGGCGCTGACGCCGCGGCGCTCCGTGGCTCGTGCGCATCCTCTGCTGCACACAGTCGTGCTCCGCCCTGCTCTCTCTTCTTTTTTTTTTTTTGTTGTTTATCTCTCTCTCTCCCTCCCTCTGCTTCGCAGCCTCGGGCGCTCTGCTGCCTGTCTGCGTCGCTGTGCAGGGCAACGCGCTGCTCCGCCCACGCGCCACTCCCAGGCCCCCGACGTCCTGAGTTTTGCGAGACGTCGACCCCCAGAAACCTCGACCCCTTCCCCGGGACCGGCTTCTCATCCCAATCCAATCGCTTTTTGACGGCACTGGGCCCGGCGAGGGCCCCTGGAGGCCGAAAAAAAACGGCCGTTCTGTTTTTGAGGGCCCGCGAGGGTCTGAGATGGGCGTATGGTTTCTTCACCTCGCCATCGCTCGGACGTCCATTCCCAGAGCATTTGCCAAACTCGTGCGTTAGTTTTTCGCAAGACGACCCAGGACGCTCCTCGATGCGATGCGATGCGATGCGATGCGACCACCGTTGCGGACAGCGTCCGGGCCTAGAGCAGACCAGGTGGGCGAGGCCATGGCTTCTAGGATCTGAGGTGTCTGGATTCATGCAGTGCGAGACGTGTAAAAAGTTAGGAGGAGAGGGGGAGGAGGAGGAAAAGAAAGCCTTTAGTGTCGGTGTCGGCGCGGGTTGGGCGAGACGTCTCGACTTTCGCAGAGATTTTACGTCATTGGTCTGAGTCCAGGGTGCTGGTCGACGTGAGGTAGGATGCAGTTGACATGTATGGTGTGGCAAGGCTGTCAGCGGCGACAAGATCCCCAAATCTGCTACCAACTAACATTCCATGGTGGTTTGGCACAGCCAAACCACCGTGCAACGTCAGTTTGTTCATCCGTTGACAGCAGCACGCGTCGCGGCAGCAGAACGCAGTAGCGCGCGCGGGCATGCAGGGCCGGCGATGTGGCTGGCCAGCTGCCAACGCGATTTCGGCAAAAGAGCCGACATCCACGCAGGATCGTTTTGGGCGTAGTATCCGGCGCAACTGCATCGCACTGCCAGGCGCCGCGGCCTTGCGATTGTAGCGCCAGGCCCCGTGCGCTCCTCGAGGCGGGAAAGCAAGCTCTACACAAAGGAATCGCGCGTGCTCTTGTGGGGGCGGCGAAAACGATCGTACACAAAGGAAATTCCTTTGTGTGCCCCCCGCGCTGGCAGTTTAACCAGACCGTACACAAAGGAATGACGCGAGACTTCGTGGCACACAAAAAAATTACAGCAACGCCCTTTGGGTTGCGCTCTTCGCGCGCGGCGACAGCTCCGAGCTAGAAAGGAGGAGAGGGCGGGACAAGGCAAAGCAGGGGAAGAGGAAAAAGAAGAGGAGGGCGAGAAAGAAGCGAAGAAAGCAACGGAAGGACGCCAGGATGCGCGCAAGCGAAGCTAACACTGCGCGCCGAGACAGTTGTTCGTTCGTTCGGTTGGCCGTGCGGCAGATGAATAGAACTAAAATTTTGTGCTGCCTATTGAATGGACTTTTCGGGAATGAGACTCGCGCTCTCTTCCCAACACCCTTTCCCGCACCCCGTTGCGAGCGCGCGACGATTTATTCTGGCCCGCGGGCAGAGGACTGCCAGTTGCTGGTGAGCGGTTTTTCCACCCGTCACGCGTTCCGAATACATGCGACCAGCTAGACGCACTTGCCACGCAAACCGCCAGCTCCAAAGACCGACGCCACACCGATCCCCGCAGCCGTGCCAGGCACCCTCTCAACGACACCCCCTTCCGGCGTAAAACCCATAAAACCCTTTGTGTTTATGTGTTTTCCCCATATCCTAAGATGGGGTTCTTGTTATTACTTGGACGCCTCCTACTCCTTCTCCTTCCTCCTCCTCTTTTCTCCTCCCCTCCTGTCGGGCTTACTCATACTCAGACTTGTTCATACACAGACTTACTCATACTCAGACTTACTCATACTCAGACCTACTCATACTCAGATTTACTCACACTCAGACATACTCATACACAGACTTACTCATACACAGACTTACTCACACCCAGCCGTACTCATACACAGACTCACTCATACCCAGACTTACTCATACACAGTATTAGTCATACTCAGACTTACTCAGACTTACTCAGGCGGGGGAGCCGCCAGGGGTGGTTGCACGGGCTCGTTCGCGGCCATTTTGTAGGGATGTCTCAGGCGGTTTGCCTGTTTCTGTGCCCAACATCCTTCGCTTTCGGAGCAGATTTGGAGGATGTCTCGAGCGAGGCGCTCATTTCAGCACCCCTAAGGGGAGCCGCCAGGGGTGGTTGCACGGGCTCGTTCGCGGCCATTTTGTGGGGATGTCTCAGGCGGTTTGCCTGTTTCTGTGCCCAACATCCTTCGCTTTCGGAGCAGATTTGGAGGATGTCTCGAGCGAGGCGCTCATTTCAGCACCCCTAAGGGGAGCCGCCAGGGGTGGTTGCACGGGCTCGTTCGCGGCCATTTTGTGGGGATGTCTCAGGCGGTTTGCCTGTTTCTGTGCCCAACATCCTTCGCTTTCGGAGCAGATTTGGAGGATGTCTCGAGCGAGGCGCTCATTTCAGCACCCCTAAGGGGAGCCGCCAGGGGTGGTTGCACGGGCTCGTTCGCGGCCATTTTGTGGGGATGTCTCAGGCGGTTTGCCTGTTTCTGTGCCCAACATCCTTCGCTTTCGGAGCAGATTTGGAGGATGTCTCGAGCGAGGCGCTCATTTTCACCCCCCAGGTGGGCCAGATTTTGAGGATGTCTCGATCGGTTTGCTTGTTTTGGTGGCCAGGCTCGTGGGCGCAGATTCTTCTCAGGATGCCACAGGAGGCTCCAACAGGCTCCAGGAGGCCCCAGGAGACCACATGAGGTCCCAGGAGGCATCAGGAGGCCACAGAAAGACTCAAGAGGCCACAGGATGTCCCAAGAGGCTCCAGGAGGCCCCAGGAAGCTCCAGAAGGCCTCAGGAAACCACAGGAGACCCCAGGAGACAACAGGAAGCGCCAGGAGGCCTCGGAAGGCAACAGGAGGCCCCGAGAGGCCCCAGGAGCAGGAGGCCTCAGAAGGCAACAGGAGTGGCTCCAATCCCATGTGTTTTACGTATGCTCCTATCGATTGGGCCTCACCTGGAGCACGATTCTTTGATGTTCTACGTATGTTTCTATAGATGGTCCTTCTCCTGTGTACACAATCCTAAATGTTTTACTCATGTTCCTATGTATTGGGCCTCTCCTGGGGCACGAGTCCTTGGTGTTTTACGCGTGTTCCTATAGATTGCCCTTCTCCTGTGGCTCTAATCCGCAATGTTTTATGTACGTCTGTTGCTATAGATTGCGCCTCCCCTGGGGCACGAAACCTTCCTAGGAGGTCCCAGGAGGTCCCAAGAGGCTCCTGGAGACCCCAGGAAGCCCCAGTAGGTTTCAGGAGGCCCCAGGAGGCCCCAGGCTCATGCACAGAGACGCGCTCGTACTACTGAGGCTCATTCACACTCCAATTCATTCGCAGTTAGATTGATGTCCAGACCGTCACAACTGAAGCCCGTTAATATTCGAAAGCTCTTGCGCCTAGACATTCACGGCGGACAGGTCCATGCGAGTGGATGCACATATGGGGAGCTCCACGCAGTGAATAATTCCTGTTCTGAGTGTTGTCGTTCGGTTGTCCTTTCGAATGGGCTTGCGTGGGCGGTCGGTGGAGGTCTGGACTGCGTTGACGTAAGTAAGTGGTGATAACATGCCGAGTCAGGATGCTCCTCAATATGGTCCTCGCCGAGAAAACATGCGGACGTCCGAGCGATGCCAAGTCACTTGATCCATCGGACCGACACGGGGCCCTGCGCCCAAAGGTCTGGACCTCTTCCTCAGGGCGGGCTCCTCCTCCCGAGCCGTCTTGTGGACCGCCCCGGGGCCAGGCGAGGGCCCCCAGAGGCCGAAGGCTGCGAGCAAAAACCTCCGCCCTGAGTTGCTCGAGACGCTGGAGGTCTGGGCATGGCTTCTTCACCTGGTCCATGGAGGGCCGAAAAAAAAGGCCCTGCGCCCCACAGAGCCCACGCAGTGGTGGCGGTGCCCCGACGGCCAGCGCTGGGCGCCGAGAGGTCGTCGTCGCCGCCGCCGTCGTCGCCGTCGCCGTCGTCGTCGTCGCCGCCGCCGTCGTCGCCGTCGCCATCGTCGTCGTCGTCGTCGTCGCCGTCGTCGTCGTCGTCGTCGTCGTCGTCGTCGTCGTCGTCGTCGTCGTCGTCGTCGAGGGCCTGTGGAGGCGCTGCGCCACGGCGGCCACGGGGTGCGTCTTGGGCAGCTGCTCCGCCGCCAGCTCGCTGGCCCACGCGTAGGCCTGCCCCGCCCGGTGCGGCGGCCCCGCGGGAGGGCCCTCGGCGGAGGCCCCCCCAGGTAAGACGAAGCCAGGGCGAGGATGCAAAATCGGGTGAGAATAGATCGAGAATCGCAAAGATCCAACGTGTTGAAAAAAGCAGGACTCAGGACGGAAGCTTTTCTCATTTTTCAGTCTCTCGGGGCTCTCGCCGGGCCTCGGGACCGTCAGACAACGACTCAGGATGAAAAGGTCCTGGGGGATGGGTCGAGACTTCCAGGGACCCCGGGTTGAAAAAATCACGACATCGGATCTCTGGGCGCCGCGGCCTTCTCAGAGCGCTCTGGAACGCTCTGGGAGCGTTGCGGAACGCTCTGGGAGCGTTGCGGAACGCTCTGCAGCGGATTTACCAAGCAGTGCCAAGTAATGCCAAGCTGCGCGTAGCACCGCCGGATGAAACGGGAGAAAGCCGGATGAAGCAGGAAGAGGCAGGATTCCGGACCAGGGCAAAGTCAGGATTCGACCTCCCAGGAATTGCATCCGAAGACGTCCCAGCCGGAGCGCACCCAAGGACAGGTCCGGGGTCAATGCTTGACTGCTGAGCCCGTACGGCAGGCTCCTGCCGGACCGCGAGGAGGGAAGAGGGTGGATGGAGGAATGAGGAGGAGGGGGGAGGGAGGAGGGAGGAGGGGGGAGGGAGGAGAGAGCAGGGAGGAGGGAGGAGGGAGGAGGTGGATTTGGGCGCCGTGGACGATCCTACCTCGTGGAGCAATCGCCGCTCGTCGTGGTCTGGGCCTATCCAGAGGCGGGCTTCGGGCTGCAGGAACGCCGAAAAACTGCTCGGGATCCAGGTCGGAGGTCCCGACACGGTGCGGTGGCGGACCGCGCGGTGACCTCGGAGTCCCCAGCAGACCTCACCGCACAGTCCGTCACCGCAACGGTCTGAGACCCTGAGGGCCCTAGTCGCCCGAGACGTCCTCGGAGAGCGACCTGAGTCCCAAAACCGTGCGGTCGCCCCGAATCCACCCCCGACTCACCACCAGGCGGGCCCTGGTGGTGAGTCGGGCCCGAAAAGGGCTGGCCCTGGGGAAAAGAGGTTCAAAGAGGCTCGGGGGCCAGGCACCGGAAAACTCGGAGCGCCGGAGGCCTCGCCAGATGCCTCAAACGGGGCCTCCCAGCTTGACAAGGGAGGCATACGTGATCGCGGGTCAGGGGCTCACGGGCGCCCCCCCCCCAGATGGAATGGTTCACAAGGCTCCACAAGCCAGCCCCCGATGGGATGGGGGGGCGCGACGACGCCAACGCCGACGCCGACGACGACGCCACGACGTCGACGGACGCCGACGCCGACGACGACACCACGACGCCGACGATGACGACGACGCCGACGACGACGCCGACGGCAACGACGACGGCAACGACGACGACGACGACGACGACGACGACGACGACGACGACGACGACGACGAGCCACCCCACACCCACACGGGGAGGTGGGACGCGCAGGCACCCTCCGCTACGCCCACGCCCACAGGGCCACGACCACGGGGGGGAGCGATCCCACTCGCGGGGCCTCCGCGAGGCTCGCGGGCGGACCCCTCCAGCGGGGGGGGGGGGGCGGCGGCTCGACCCCAGGTGCATCGGGGGGGAGGGACGGGGAGAGGTACACCCATCCTTCGTGCACCGATGCTTTGCGCAGGAGTGGCCATGCCAAGATCGCAGAGGAGGTGGGCCGCTGGCGTCCCCCGAGGAGGTCCTCGCGGCGGCCCTTGCGGA